TATGATTTAGAATCAAGCTTTCTTGCTAAAGTTTTTAACAAATGCAATTCAAAAAAAAATATCTGATTAAACTGATGAAAATGCATGGCCTGCATGTGTGCACCTCTGCAGCAACCTGGGAACTGCAACCGTCTTAGTACACTCTCCTTATCTTTGTTGGCGAAACCAAGTATATATACATCAATATATATAATCGGAGTCGTGTTAACGGCAAGGAATAATATATATATATATATATATATATATATATATATATATATATATATATATATATATATATATATATATATATCAATAGCACTGTTATATTACATCGAGCACTAATTTATTAGGACTACCAATCAATGCGTTATACATATATATATATATATATATATATATATATATATATATATGTAAGCAAATATATGGATATAGATCCGATAGTATGAAGAAAATACAGAAAAAAACAAACAAAAATCTTTTAATATTAATATTAATGTCCGACGTCGACTTTATATTAACATTAATACAGTATAATTGCATATTACGTTTTGTTTGTTTTTCATTTTTTCTTCATAATATATATATATATATATATATATATATATATATATATATATATATATATATATATATATTTAATTTTAGTTTACGGGATCAGACGCCCATCTCTTCAGACCCCAAAACTTACAGCAATAAATGGATTTTAAATTTATCCCGACACGAGCAAAAAAAAAAAAAAAAAAGAAAACGAAAAAGGCAAACGGGTAGATGATAGAGAAAAAGAAAAGGAGTGCAGAGATAACGGACCTCTTTTCTATTTTAATTTTTTCTTTTTTGGCTTGCTTGTGTTGGCATAAATTTAAAATTCATTTATTTTTGTAAAACATTTTTTGGCTGAATATTTGGGCGTTTCATCCGGCGAAATAAATTATTACCAATGGATTTCTAAGGACCCCACTCTCATTAATATATTTGCTCTGTTCTTACATTGAACTCTCTTTGGTTTTAATCTTCTTTGGAATTACCCTACTAATTAATAATAATAATTATATATATATATATATATATATATATATATATATATATATATATATATATATATATATATGGTAATTTGCTATTTTTTGTCATGGCTAAAGTGGTCAACATGGAGGATATAGTCTTTTTCTATAAAATCAATGACACTAATGCCAATGGTAATATTAAACGTTTCTTTATAAGAAAACCTTCGACATTCATTGACCGAGTAGTCTGTACTATTGTCGGTTGAAATTTATAATTTTTTTTCTCTTAAAACCTTATTTTCAGGAAAATAGATTACTATGGTGCCTATAAAAATGAGTTGCCTTCTGCCTTCTCTTAACATCGTGTTCAATTGTTTTCACGTATGTGTCAAGTTGTATACTGATATATATGCCCCTTGCGTCTATAGTGGCTTTATCGCCTTGTTTGCGCTGAAATGAATAGTAAAGTAATATATAAACACCAGTAACGACTAGAATTGATAGCATAGACAACTCAAAGCGAAAGTAATAGCATAATGAAGATGTTGAAGCGCCAGATCTCTTCAAAACAAAGGTTAGACAAGAAGCCCTTCTCATTAATGAATAGATGATGACAGTGAACATGAAAAAGTATTTTGCAGAAAGATTGTTTTAAAAGAAGATTTCATAAATTTCAATCAGCAGTATCACTGGTTTTTGGTCAATGAATGCCAAGATTTTCATATCAGGAAAGGGATAATTTTCATTACTATTACTATAAAACAAAAATATATGATTTCAAAAGTTCAGTAATTGTTATCTCTTTGATAGGGATTATTTGAAGTAGTATGGAATGTCAACAACTTGATGATGTCATTATTTTCTCTTAGAAGTGTATCACCCAACGAAGCGAAATGAAAGATGATGACATCAGTTTTCTGATAAATGAATTTAGGATTTATAAAAAAAAAAAAAACGGACAACGACCTCGTTAATCTGTTGAGCCATGTGAGATATCCAAAGTTCAGTCTCATTTTATTAGTTGAAAAATCTGGTTTTCTGCTCGATTTCTGTGTTACAACAACAAGAATATAGTCTTTCAAGCTGTTGAAATGTTAGATTAAGTTTTTTGCTATTAGAACTATTAACTGAAATGTTACGTGATATCTGTCCTCCTATATGACATTGAATGCCGCACAATCTCTTCAAAGATGAAGAAGAGGTGTAAAGCAACTGAAATGTGGTTTTACAGAAAGATACTGAGGAGAGTGTAATCCGAAATTGTGAGCAACGACAAAGTTTTAGAGAATATTGAATCGTTTAGAAGTCAAGTGGATGGGCACTGTCCTGCTAGAAATTCATATCACCTTACTGCTGCTGAAATGTTAACAGATCAAGTTGGACAACATTCTGAGCCTAGTTCAAAGTTCTATCTTAAAACACTTGACTTTTCGTTTATTGTAATACCGTGATATGTAGAAGGAGGGCTCGGAAAATTTGATGCTCACAGGACAGAGTGAGGGAAAAAGGTTACAGCGGATAACAGCGCATAACATATTTGATGAGCTTAAAGTAAATCATTTGCAGAACAGGGTTTAGGAGAAATAACAGAAAGACAAAACTCAGTAAGAGCAAGGAACAGGAAGATGTGGGGGACCATAATCACTCACGCCCTGAAGGGACACGGTGCATGAAACAAGAAAAAACTTACTTGCTATATTAATACTGGCGATCATAGTTAGAACTTAATTAGTTCTTTATTTTGGCTAAAATCTAAGGTGATTTTGTGTATAGGTTCTCTTCTGTACGTATGTGTATTGCAATTAACAAAGGTTACTTTTTGAACAGCTAAGAAAACTTGATTTATTTGTGAAAGGTATTAGAATAGCCCGGAACATATTCTGGAAACGAACAGCACACAAATAGACAATAAAATGTGCAAGAGCATAAAAAAGAAATAAGACAAGGATGAGTCTACTCAACAGATTTATTTAAACTATACAGCGAGATGATCCGTAGAGAACTAGAAATTCTAACAGGATTTATTATCGGCGAAGACAATGTTAAGATGAATAGATATCAATGTGTTAAAGAGAGTCACAGAAAAGAAACATAGTGATAATGGAAAAAGAGAATGAAAGATTAAGCATTGTTGTGGGTGGTATCTTGGCCCGCAAACAGATATATTATGATGGAAGACAACAACAAACAAAACGAAAACTTGAGTAAAAATATATTGCCAATTTTATTTTCGTTAAAGAAAATACATCGTCAAAAATAAGCTTACAGTGCACTAAGCGAAGAATATCTCTGCTGGCTTATATACAGGTAGAGAATAGCCTTATCGTGAGAAGTACAGTTTTGGTAATGGTTGAAATGCGTTGTCCTGAAAAGGACAGTTGTCTAGTCGCTGGAGAGCGTCGTCCTGAAAAGGACAGTTTTGTAGTCGCTGGAGAGCGTCGTCCTGAAAAGGACAGTTTTGTAGTCGCTGGAGAGCTTCGTCCTGAAAAGGACATTTTTGTTGTCGCTGGAGAGCGTCTGCCTGAAAAGGACATTTTTGTTGTCGCTGGAAAGCGTTCTATTGAAAGGGACAGCTGATTGCATATTGTCGCTGCTGGTTAGAGCTGGAGATGGTTGGGGCGGCGGAGGATGGCGATCTGGAGCTGCGCATGACGATGTCTGGCTAGAACTTCTACTGATGGCTGGATCTGTGAACCGGTGGTCGATTGCTAGAACAGATGCAACACTTTGATCTTAGTCATCTTGGACGCGGAATTGTTATTTACCCTGGTCTCCCTACTGAGACGAGATGGGAGAAAACTTTGTGTTTTATATGGGTTAGCCGAGCGCGTACACTCTGGCCATGGACAAAAATTGCCCAGCCCCCGCAAACGCCGGCTGCGCTGACACCCGCCTGACAACCGATAATCCCTCTCTTGTTAATTGGGAAGTGCAACCTCGGGTACCTGTTTTCCTAGACCGGGCTTCTCACAGCATTTATTTTCCTCAGCTGCGTCACTGTCCGTAGACAGTACCACAACTGAATTGCACTCTGCTTGAAGGCAAAAACGCAACAGTTATGATAACGTCACGGGCCGCGGAATCATGTGTTTTCGACCTCCGAGACCTTTTTTATATCCTGAATCAGTTTACAACAATCACTGGTTAAGCATTTTCTTCCGGTTGTTGTTGTTTTTTTTTTGTTTTTTGTTTTCTGGATGTGGGAGTGCCAGCAAGATACGACACCGTCAACTGAAAGAATGCAGAATATCTGGTTGACCCCAAAAGCCGCAGCGAACTACAAACTGGAGATGTCAAAATTAAGCAAGTATAGAAATTTAATTATCTGGAAAGGGTTTTAACAAACGATACGAACTGTGATATATAAATCTGTAGAAACGTTGAAATAACAAAAGATGTCTTCGAACAGTTAAGTATAAGAGATAAGAAAATTTCAATTGAAACAAAGAAAAGAGTGCTAAAATGAAATTATTATGACAGTCATCCTATGTAGTAACAACTTTCTTCATAGATGAAGAAGAGACGTCAAGTAACACAGAGATGTCTCAACAGATCTTGAGAATGCAATAGACAGTAAAAGTGAGCGACAAATGACTTTTAGAAAAACAGAAACAAAAAAACCCTCTTGTACTTAGAATTAGAAAGAGCTGAATCTTCTCGAACACATAACGAGAAAAGAAGGCTAGGAAAATGGACACTCACGTGATACATGGAAGACAAGATTGTTTGTTTGATTGATTGATTCGTTTTCTCCGGCTTATTAAACTTTTGCAGCTTAATTTAATGCCAGACAATACATTTAGATGGTAAGAACACTTCTGATATCATAATAGTTTTAGTGAAACAAGTCTTATTAATTAACCTATAGCGTGGAGGAGAAGAGGTGGTATCATACAATTCTCATGGGTATTTGCGCGTCAATGAATATAGCGAACACAACGGGAATTAGAACTCGACTCTCCAATTAATAATTCAGTGACATTATCCATTACACCACCCGCACATCAAAGTTTACAGCACCTGGTATTCTCAAGAGGTCACCCATCTAAGTACGGATCAAGCTAGACGTTGCTTAACTTCGGTGATCGTACGGGAACCATTCTTTCAATTCAAGACAAGAGGTGCAGTGAGAAAGCAGAGTATCCTAAGTAATGAGCTCGTGTAGATGCATGGCAGAACAAGGACTGGGAGGAAGATGAAGAAATATTAAACGCCTATACACATATATACACTCACACACACATGCGCACCCACGCACACACACACACACACACACACACATATATATATATATATATATATATATATATATATATATATATATATATATATATATATATATATATATATATATATATATCAGAGAGAGCGTATGTAAATATAAAGGCCTAAAGATTGCGTTCAAGCACGAAATAGAATGTCACTGCTTGGCGTTGACCAAAATTCCACAAAATATCTTGAAATACTAAAGGGTAAATTTATTCAATTGAAATCACCATTAGCTTCAACCACGGCCTCCAGGCGACTTCGGAATCTCCTGGAACTCTTCTTCACGTTCTCCTCGTTTAAGTTGGTGAATGATGCAATAATCTTTGCCTTCATCTATTGTATTGTAAGAAGTATTATTGATCTCTCGCTCAACTACGCTCCACACATAATAATCAAAGGGATTGCAGTCTGGGTGAGTTAAGTGGCCAGATGTAAGAGACGATGTGGTCGCGGCAATGACTGGGTTCTCTTGTTTGGGTGCAATGGCCCAGAGTCCTTTTGCCACAAAAAAGTCTTCCAGCAGCCACTTTCTTGACCCAGGGCAGCACTATATATTCTCAAGGCACTTGATGTAAGCCTCCGTGGCACTGTGAGAATATGAATAGAGGCATAAGTTCTACTAAAGGAAGCTGAAAAGGTTAGTACAGGTTCAATTCCTGTCGGAAGTACAATCGTTCTCATTTAGGACTTTTCAATTTAGATCGTATGTTATCGATATAATAATAGTTTATTGATTATTATTGTTTAATGAAATAAAAGAAAAGAAGGATATCAACTCAAGCAGATCTAGCCTCTTAAAATAAGGTTTACATTTAATAAAATTAATGTCAGATAAAATTATCCATTAAAAACAATACATATATATATATATATATATATATATAAAAAAATATATTTGTTTGTTAATACAAAGCAGATTGTTACAACATCCCGACTCTAGTGTTTGTTAGAAGGGGCCCTCCAAGGATATATATATATATATATATATATATATATATACTGGCATTTATGTGTACCAATAATGATTTTGTTCATTTTTTACTTATTTAGAATGAGTGGTAAAATCATTTATGTGAAATTCAGTCTTTAGCCTTAAATCTTTTCTAAGTATTTAGTAACAAGTTTAATATCAATTTATAAGTGCTTCTTTGTTAAAAAAAGTCTCCGAAGAGAAACATGAAAGTGCTGAAATCATTGTATTCTTCAAAGAAGATTTATCCCAAGTCAAAGTTGCAAGAAGACTGAAATACTCAAGAAAAGGTGTACAAACATTAAAAGTTATAACGAAACCAATTCTTTCAAAAATCGTGATAGTCACACAGCCGGAAAAACTCAACGAGAGACAGATTGTTAAAAAAGGTATCTCTAAGTGATAGGAAAAAAACTCTTCTAACGTGACTGCTAAATTTCGAAAGGTAACAAAGTGATATCAACTTGCATAGTGAGAATGTTAGTAGAAGCTGGCCTTAAATTAAGTAAAGCTAGAAAAAACATTGCTAATATGAAAAAGAGTCTTTCTTTTGCAAAAGAGCATGAAAATTGGACGGCTGAGGATTGGGTCAAAGTTGTCTGATATGATGAAATGACTTTGAAGTTCCTTTATTAACTAATTTATTGAGCATAATTGATTTTATTACGCCTATTAATACTGTATTGTTATTAAATAGAAAATCGTCCCTATTTTTTTTTATTCTTATCAGACTTTTGGAAACCCTGACGTAGTTTATGTTCGTCGAAGTGTTGAGGAAAAATATGATGCTCAATGTATTGTCCGAACTGTAAAATTTGGAGGTGGGAGCGTAATAGTGCTGCATTTCGTCTTCCGGGGCAGAAATGTTATTCACATATGAGGGTAGAATGAATTGCAACACTTACACAAGCATGTTAGACCAATGTTATCAACCTTCATTAGAGAACATTTTCAACAATAACATACCAGATGGAGTAATCAAAAGATTTTTTAGTGATTCTTAAGACAAATGGTGCCAAGGTGGGTAAACAGCTTATCTATATAACTGGAAGAAAGAAACCTAAATACTTTAGTGAGTTTTTAGATATTAAACATTTTGTGAGGTGGTAGCGGTTCAGAATGAGAAATCGTGGAAACAAGTTCGAATTTGGATCGTGTTCGTTACATTAACTTACGCGGAAACAATCTTGACTAAAGTGTGAATTTATATCTTCTTCCTTCAGCTATGAGTTAATAGCAGGATAGACTAGGCTCTATAGCATTGATTGGCCATCTAAAAGAAGGAAAACTCTGAATTCAAACCAGCCTGGTGAGGGTTGGGCTCTGTCATGCTGTCTTATTCAAGACACACGGCTGAAGAACATATGTTGCCCGTACAGTCCTTAATGGATTACGGGACTCGTGATCGTGAATTAAAACTGACAGATGAAACATGTATTTTGACGGCAAAGATACCTAACTAAATAGAAAGAATGGCCACTAGATAAAATTGTTAAGGGAAATAGACTGGTTTCAAGCATATAAAGCTGTCTTAATCCACCTAAACACATATACAGACTAACGAATTGTCCTTTCCAACAATAATGCTTTTATTTTGCCTTAGCAGTAAATTTTGTTTTCACGGGTTCCGAGAGCCGCAATTGATGAAGTGGATATTTTGATATTTTTTATACGCCCGGTTCTTATTCGTAAAAGAGTTAGGATTACGAAAATATCATTAACACAGAGTATCACATATTCGTTCATAGTCCTTTCTCCCTGCTGTATGTATAGACGATATTCAATGGGCAGTACACATCTTCACCAGCGACTCATACCTATTGTTAAACATCGTCAACACGATCACAAGAAACACAGCCCTTAATTAATCTTTTTCTGATTTGTATTTTATGTAACTTTTGACTGACAATTATTTCCTTTTCATTATTAATATTCAATTATTTTAATACTTATATTTGACTATAGTAATTATTTAACGGAATACGCCATTTTTTACAGTGCAGGTGAACTAAAAGTATGATGTACGGATATCGTCTCTGAAAATTGAATGACCTAGCCGAATTCTAATTAGTTATTTTTTTTAAGTGTAGCTAAGATGTGGCATAAGGCCGAAAGTATGGGGTACATGGTGAGGATCGAACTCACTTTTTATTCGTAACTGATCTAGCGAGACAAGCTTGCTAACAATTACACCACGCCGAGATTGCCAAGCCGATTCTAATTATGGTATTGTCAGTTGCGCAGTAAAGCCATTGTCAAAAGCATGAAATCGTCGCTTATTTCCCACTCACATTTATGGATTAAATAGCAGATTATGAAATAAACACTGTGTTCCACAGCCTTCAGTGGCAGTCTAGGAGAAGAAAAATCTGAATTAAAAACCTTATAAAAACAACGGAAAAATACAACCTTTCCCATGAACACATAGCAATTCACAGATAATAAAGAAAGATATCATTTGAGAGTCATCATCGCCTATGGGGATTGTAGCGCCTGTTAGGGTCCCAGTTATGGGCAAATAGTGACCCCCTAAAAAAAAAACTATGAAAGTATAGAAAATATATTTTATAGTAAAAATACCACAGCATATTTTTATATAAAAAATAATACCGATTGAAAGTAAAATTACCAACAATACACTTTTAAATCAAAATGACTGGCAATGCATTTTCTAGTAGATTTACCAACAATCTATTTTAAATCAAAATAACCAACAATACATTTTATATGTAGCTGAAGGCATACATTTGCGTTCAAAATATTTAGATTTCAGCATTGAATAACCCATAGAGGTTGATATACCGCTAAACAAAATCAACCAACCAATACCATCTTCTTGTCCTGAATAGACATGCCATTATAAAGAAATATAAATATATGTTTTTTACTGAACATAAATTCTAGGATTGTTTCTCTGTTGTTATTAAATAATTAAGTGAACGCCCCCGAATTTCTGGTAATTGAAAATATATTTTAATGATTACCAAGGAAAAACATTCTAATAATAGCAAGTACGAAAAAATGGGCCGTCATTTTTTTAGCGGAAAGGGTAAGCAAGTACTTAATAATAATATAGCGATTAAGATGCTTTTTCCATTAGTTTTTATGATTAGACAATTATCTAAATTGTCTGCACTACAAAAATGTCGAATGAGAAAAATGCATCGCTTTCTAAAGTCATTTTAAATAGAAATTTGTGTATCCCTTACTGTTATTTTAATCTCGTCTGAGTGTGTATAAAGCAAAAAGAAAAAAAAAGTTTACTATCGAAAGGATTTTCGATCAATTAACTAAATGTTTATTTGGCTTAGTGCGAAAATAAGACTGTATATGTTGATTACTGTCAATGGATTGTTCTCGCTCTGCAAGATTAATTTTATTGTTTGTTTACCGGCATATGAACACCTTATGATAATTTAATGCTGAAATTTAATTTTTTGGGGAGCTTTGAAAGAACAAAAATATGTTATTCTGCTCTCACAATTGAATACATGGTAGATGATACTTAGCTTTTGTGCATATACATATTTGTCTGAACATAATTTCTAGAGGCAGTTTATGTTGTAGTTTTGATGATGTTATATTTTAAGATACAGTTTGATTTAAGATATTTTAAAATATTACATGGATTAATGTCGTGAAAGTTGTCTCATGTTGGTTCTTTGGTTGGTTGATTTTGTTTAGTGGTATATCAACACCTCTATGGGTTATTTAAATTTAATGTCAGGATATAAATAATTTGAATACAATTTTATGGCTTCAACTAAATATATATTTATGCCTTCACCTACAGATGAAATGTATTGCTGGTTATTTTACTTTAAAAATGTATTTCTGGTATTTTCCCTATAAAATGTATTTTTATACTTTCATTGTGTTTTGTTTTGAAATTCACTATTTGCCCATAGCTGGGACCCTAACAGGTGCTACTACCTCGGGTCAGGGTGAACCTACGAACAACAGCAATTAAGAGGCCGTCCCCTGATCCTCAAAACTTTCAATCTCCCGATCAGAGGCCTTGCTGCCTGATGCATTTTATCGTTATACCTAAGACTCACACATTTAATCATATTACCCCATACGGAACCGTCATTTACCCCATGCAAGGCAATAAAGCCACTAAGACACAAAAGGGTTACCGAGTGTGCAAGAATAAGGAAAAAGAACTATTTTTACAGATCAAGAACAATAGAAGAGGAATCAAGAAGACAGTAGATAGAGATTGGCATTTTATTTAAATTTGTGAAGATCAAAGTTCGCAGGAAAGCATGCAGCCGGAAACGAGTTCCACAAGCGAGAAATGCAATAAAAGATCCTGTTACATCCGGCCAGTTCAAGTCTAGGTATGAATGAAATAGTTGACTGAATTGTATTGACAAACACGAAGAGTGACGATAATTAAGGTTGCGAAGTTTGAATTCAAACAAAACTTAAGAATAACAATTAATAATTTAGCTAAGATAATCTCTCCTATTATTAAGTTTAATCCACTTTCAATAAGCAATTAATATTCAAACTAAAAACAAATAAGAATAGATAAAGTAGTAATCTTTCAATATTAACGAACTGGTTTTTCAATGTGGCCTGAGGTGTACTTATCCAAATAGTGTGATGTAGTTATCTTCACTTACCGGCTGAAACAAAAACAGCATAAAATCATGCTTAAAACCTCCAATCTTAATAAAAGCAAATTTGTATCGTCAAAATGTTTATGTTAATATTAAGAGGAAAGAAGATGTTTTTTTTTTAATTATTTTATTAATTTTTTAACCCTTTCTAGCATGTTCGAAATTTTGATTAAAAATCTTGTTTTTTTTTTTTTTATGTCATCGGCCGACGTCATATTTACGATTAGTATTTTGTGCCTTTTTTCAGCTGAAGAACACATTGATTTGGAAATTCTTGCAAAAAAATTATATAATTGTCGGATTTTAATGAAACTCTCACGAGTTATTCAAAAAAGAAAGAAATTATTTTTCAATTTTTTTTATTTTTAGAAAATCTTCGGATTCTTTTTTTACGTGTTACCCCCGCTTCCTTAATTTTATGAAATTTGAAGAAAATAAATTGCAATTTCAAGATATGTTTTTTTTTTCTTTTAGTTAAAAGCAGAAATCCTTGGAGAATTTAAATCATCATTTTTTTGAGAAGCAGATCCTACAGTTACGGAAAATCTGTTCTGCATAGTAAAATAAAGTATACAGCAAAATTATGACATTATTTAATTAGAAAAGCTTTTACTTGCTTTTATAAATAAGATTTATTAAGGATACTATTGTCGTAAGAAAAAAATATTAATAATATTTTTACAAGAATAGTTTTCATTTTTTAATATTTAATTATAATAATTTATAATATTATAAATCGTTTAAAATTCTCCATTGCTTCAATCAGGTTAGGTAATATTGTTATTAAAGGAAAACTATATTTACGAATCCAAAATTGAAAATCTCAATAAAAGTCGTTTACACCTAATGTTTTATAAAAAAGTTTTTTTTTATTTATATAAATGATTACCTAACTTGCTCCTGTTTGAATGTATAGGCGACTAAACACAATATAATCAGAAAACGCGAACAATAAGTATATTATATTTAAATTTAAATTCAACATTACTAAAATTAGATTAGAGAATGTTTTCCAAGAATTTTTCAGATTACCGAGTACTTAAAAATTATATTAAAAAGCGCTTACCATCATTTTATTAAATTATGTTTTCACAGATAATGTCTCCGTAAAACAATAGATAAATCTGTGAACATTTTATCAATGCTTGTTAAGTGTTCTACGAGTGACAGGCGACAGGGACAAGCGAGTAATCACCGCTACTGTTTGTTTTAAAAATTCATTTAAAGTATATTTTATTTTTGGAAGATTTTTAAAACCGAGAATTAACTTTTGTTTACAAATGTGTCAAAAATAGGCTATAGTTTTTTATTCTTATCGATTTTCTGAAAACTACCAAAAATTTGAGATTTCAATCAATATAATTTCTATTTGAAGTACACCAGAGTATTTTGCTTACTGGTAAACTTAATTTTAAATTCGTTAATTTAACCATTTAACTTTCAATTAAAGCTAAAATGAAAGCTCAAAGAATGCTTTTTCATTTTTTAAAATTCAGTTTAAACCTCAGGTACCGAAACTGAGTGGAAGTACTTAGTGTGATGAGATTGCATCAATATTTTATCTAATTACGCTTTTTCCATTTAGTCAACAGTTTTACTTAAGTCGTTGTCTACCCCAGGACCACGGGTCCGATAAACAGTAGTCAACCCTACAAAAATATGATGTTAAAAGATTTACCGACCTTCAAAGTTGGGAAGATTTACCTGCCATGTTTATCAATAGTCAAAAGCATCCCTTCACATCTGACTAACCTAGTAAACAACTAACTGTATGAGGACTATCGTCGTTTTCTTTATTGTTGTTAGCACGAACGGTAACAACAATAAAGATGAGGATAATAGTTCGCATGTAAATAGTGTAAATAATGATAACTTCTCATCTCAGAAATTCAGTCAAAACAGCCTAGGATATTTACTAAGCTTATTTTTGTTTAGCACAAGGTCAATGTTTTGGAGCAATAAGTGATGATTAAATTCTTTCCAATAGGGAAGTGATGTACAAGATGTGTTTGCTGACTATTTTATCTTGAACATTTTCTCAAACGATCAGCCGTCCCTATGCTGGTCATACCAGGCTGCTTAAATTCGGCAATCAAACACGAAAGCCAGATTTAGAAGACAACAATCTTTAAAAGCAAAAAAAAATATTTATTATGTGGCAGAAGTGCGATGAGAGACCAACCAGTGAACAACAAAAAAGTTTTAAGAAAAATAGAAACAAAAAAATGTCTCTTGTACTGAGAATTAGAAAGAGTTAAAATTTCTGGAGCACGTAATGAGGAATGAAGGCTTGGAATATTTGATACTCACGGCATACATTAAAGATTAAGTAGTTGATTTGATTGATTCGTTTCTTACGGTTTATCAAACCTTTGCAGGTTATTTAAAGCCAGAAAATATTTGCAGACTATAAGATTCTTTTTTGAAATGATGGTTTTATTGATACAAGTCTTACTAATTTAGCCATAGGAGGAAGAGGTGGATTTATACCTTTCTTAAGGATATTTGCACGAATATAACGAATCCAACAGGAATTGGAACTCGGCTCTCCAATGTAATAATTCCGAACCATTATCCATTAAACTATCCAAGCTTACAGCACCTGGAATTCCCAAGAGGTTATCCATCTAGGTACTGAACAAGTTCGACGTTGCTTAACTTCGTTGATCTTACGTGAACTGCTGTTTCAAATGAAGAAAAGAGGTACATAGAGAAAGTAGTAACCTAATTAACGAGCTTGTGTAGATGGATGGCAGAACACGGACTGGGAGGAATATTAAGCGGGACAAACATTGGGTCGAGCTACAGAAGATAGTTTTTGATGGCTCTAATCTGCCGCGTCGTGTAAGGATATAGCACAAGTGGTCTCTTCCTCAAATAGAAAAAATAATTCCAATGGCGTTTCATAGAAACCTTCCTATGCTAACAACTCTATAATTACGAATTAGTCTTCAGGACGTGCTTGTTAATTTTTGCTGGGTACTTATTGTTCCGAAATTGCCACTCGTCTGAGTAGTAATCTATTCGACATAGATGATTGTATAAAAAAAAAGTTTTTCACAAAAATATGATTATGTACACATCATTACCTCAATTATTAGGGAACCTAGTAAAAACTGGACTCTCGACATTAAAATGGAGTATTGCTCTCGACTGGATCTAAAGAAAGTATTATTTTCCAGACTCCAACCTCTTTCCCATAGACGCAACATTTCAAGTCTGTCACTATTTATCGCTATTTTCGTGGCAAAAGTTCAGATGTGCTCTATTTCTTGGTTCCACTAGTCCAGACCTTTACAACTAGGATACGTCATGCTACTTAGACAAAGCCAAATCACCTACATTGCCTCCATACGTAAAAAAAAGTGCTACTCATCTTTTTTCCAACAACGGCTACTTTATGGAACAGCCTCCAGCCTGTGTGCTCCCGTGTATACTACAATCTACCTCTTCAAGAATTAATCGTTATTTCCTTCTTATTCTCATAATCTCGTTTCTTACCCAGTCCTTTTCATTCATGTCTCAAACCGCTTTCGTCATTACAATTTTATCATCTACCTTGAGCGATTCTCAAACATTGTATTGAATAAATTTTAGATATAAAAAACAACTAGCAGATTCTTCTAAAACATGCTTATTATATACTGTGCCGTAGTAGATTCTTATTGGTGTCTCAGTGTAATTTGCTAAGCTCAGTATATCAAAAAGTCCATAGTATTACGGCTCCCAGTGACAATCAAATTCGTCACACCAGGAGATTGGTGTGAAAAACGAGCTACTTACTTATTATTGCACTATGGTAGGCGTCCATTAAGCAGTTCTATAAATTCGCACAGGAAAATCCTGTTTACACATCATTTCATCACTTCTACCCGCATTTACAGTCCAAAGAAAAAAATGGATGCTGGGCGTGGAAAACCTATTACATACGAGTCGTAAAACATGGGAAAAATCCAAAATGCAAGGCGTTAACTACTGCTGTAGTTTCATCTCTTCCCGGTGTAACTCCTAAGGCGGTTCTGAAGCGTTTGATGATGAATTATTTTCTTTCGGATAAAAAACACGAGAAGGGCGCTGCCGATGAGATGGCTTATCCTCAAGAGCTTTGCGATAAGGACTCCAATCCGCAATAATTCTTTACTTCGACAGTAATCCAATGAGAAGGGCGTTGCTATTGACCGACATTTAATTTCTGACAACTGCTAAAAAGAAATCAAAATTATTACAAACTGCGTTTTATTTATAAAGAAACAAAAATCCAAATGTATTTTCTTTGCTTTTCATTTATTTTAAATTAAGTAAAATTTAAAAATATGAAATATAATCAACAGCGAAATCATCCTTAAGAAGAATATTATTTTTTCAGTATATCAATACTAAAATATCATGATTAAAATATTTGAGTTATAAATATTTACTAAGTGTACATTGGTCCGGTGTTTGAAAATATACGGTCAGAACTGATGTTGACAGGACCGGGGGCTTGACTACCGTTTATAGGGCACGCCTAAGAAAAGGAGTATCATTTTATTGCTTACTAAGCAATTTTTATAACGAAAGAAATGAATGAAATTTCAAATGGCGTGGTTGGGGTTAGGATTCGGGTTAAGTTTTTTTTTTCTTCTTCGTCTTCTTCAAGCATAATATTATTTTGTTATTCTTTAGGAAATTTAAGTTGCTAGAATTTGAATAAGGGCACTTCTGCATATCTATGCAGGGTCGAAGTGATTCCGGCAACATCAATTTGAAACACCGGTTCATGTATAATCATCGAAGTTAAGCAGCGCCGAACCTGGTCAGTACGTAGATGGTTGAGCGTTTGAGAATAACAAATGTTGTAAGTTTCAATGTCAGTGTGATGCAATGGAATATGGCTCGGAATTGTTAATCAGGGAGCCGAGTTCCAATTCCCGTTGGGTTCGTTATATTCACTTGCGCGCAAATACACTTTTCTCCCCCCAGCTATGGGTTAATCCGTAAGTGTTGTATCACTAAACCATTATTAACTCCTACCCACCCCAACAAAAAATTATTAAGATCTAAATATATTTTCTCGCTTTAAGTAACCTGCAAAAGCTTGATAAACCGTAGAAAATCAATCAAATCTCGGATTTAGGCGGTCATGGGTTCTCCATAAATTTGTATCCTTCGTAGCTCATAGTAAGGTTTATCATCTCACCATTCCGCAATTTCTACCCTCCCTTTGCAGAAGCTTGTTAGGCGGATTACACGTTGTTTTCCTCAGTCTTTTTTATCTTTAATAGGAGCTGTAAGTTTCAAATTTTGTATGTCCTATAAATTTCAATTGTCTCTGAGGGTTAGTGATGGGAAATGAATTCAATTCTTTCGTGTAAAGAACAAAAGTTGATCGTAACTCAGTTGTTTGGGTAGAAGCGAAAGTAAAGAAGCATGGCTACCACCCACTTAATAAATGGGCGACGAACCATTGCCGCTTTTTCTTAAGCAGACGATAAATTGATACTCTTTTGCTAAGCGGTAGATGCCGATCTAATCAGATAGCTTAAAAATATTTCATGCGTGGTCTTCGAAAATGCGGAGGCCGTAACATTTTCTGCTCTTTGGATATTGGGAAAAGTAGAATTATTATTTACTGACAGGTTTTTAAAATTCCGTTGTCGGAATCTCGGATATTACTTTAGCTGCAATATTTCTTTCATGTAGATAACGACATCATCTTGATTCTTGAGGCCAATATTTACAGATCTAAAATAAAAAAAAAATGTTAATAACAATACTAACACGCACACACACATACACACACACACACACACACACACACACACATATATATATATATATATATATATATATATATATATATATATATATATATATATATATAAAGCACAAGATATATAATCAAGTGTTCTTATTGATATTTTATTTTTACAAAATAGTGCCCAATATAAATTTACAGAGCATAAATATTATAAATAAACTGATTTAAAATATGGTTTTCTTCGCTACACATCAGTTAATTTATAATATATATATATATATATATGTAAGCAAATATATGTTTTTTTGTATTTTTTCTTTTATATATATATATATATATATATATATATATATATATATATTGTGAAATGTTCAAAATTCGACAAGTATTTTAAAACATTTTTATGTTTATACATTCTTTTCTATAGATACAAATATTTAAGCAAATGCTCTGTTTATAATAAAGAGTATTAACAACATTTACCAGCCTGACAATTTACTTAAATATTTGTATCTAGGAAAAAGAATGTATAAACATAAAAATGTCTTAACATATATATATATATATATATATATATATATATATATATATAATAATAACAATGTAGGTATTTTTTACTTGTAATTAACAAACCAATGTAGATATTTCTTCCTTTTAGATAACAGACCAAACTAGCACCATCTTGATTCTTCTTCGAAGTTTTGTATCTCTTGTGACTAATACCAATATTTATACATCTAAAACTAAAAGAATAAATGTTAATAACTATACTAACATATATATATATATATATATATATATATATATATATATAGATATAGATATAGATAGATAGATAGATAGATAGATAGATAGATAGATAGAGTTTATGGTATGTTATATTTATGGATAAATGTGTCCAGTATCAGAAATAAAGAGTTATTATAGAAAATATGAAAAATGACATGACGTTAAAACAATAAATTCAAAAACTGTAAACTTTGACTGGTTGAGAAAATAGTTATAATTATCATCCCAGACCCATAGAAATTAAGAACCAGAACTTATCTCAAAATAGAGACACGAAGAGAAATTCTTTCTTGGAAATTGGAAACTAAAAACGAATACCGTGTAAAACACCACTATTGTTATTGCAAAGATATGCACTTTATACAACGCAGATGAAGTAACTTACTTTAGACTAATGATTACCAACGTGGGATGCATGCCACACCGGTGAAGCATGGTAATATTTTGGTGGATATGTGCACATTTAGGCTTACTAAACTAGAGATTTGAGAATGAGTTATTTACAGTTATTAACATTAATTTTTTGTTACCAATTCCATCTTCATATTTAGCTGATTATGTCTTTAGTGTTGTAAATGATTTGTTATTGAAGAAAAGAAATCGACTGGATATCACTAGACGGGGAGACTTGTGGCTTAAGCTGACTAAATTGGTGCTTAATATAAAATCTATTTGTAGCAGGCACAAAGCACAAGGATTCCACTAACAGTCATTTTGTGATGAGCACAGATTTCATTTTGTATTATTATTTCATGATTAAAATGATCAAGGTATATTAAAGAATAAGCTTTCATTCAAATTTTATATTTCTGCTTTTCAATTCTCTTCCTCCAGCTCCTATCCCACAAACGCAAGTGTCCCCCAAGTCTCTATCCTAGGCCCTACTCTGTTCTTTATCTTCATTAACGATCTTCCTGATGTCATAGGTTCCCAAGTAGGCATCTATGCGGATGACACTGTTATTTACTCCTGCCTCAAAAACAAATCTAGGGTCGCCGAAAAAACTAACCTGGCCGTTTGTCTTGAAAAGTACCTCCAATCGGTTGTGGACTGGTGCAGGAATTGACTGGTTAACATTAATGCCTAAAAAACAAAACTCCTCTCTATTACTCACCAGAGAGAACCAGCCCTGCCTCCCATTAGAATGCCTGACGCTCAAC